TTTGAAAAACCTGATTGTCAATCCAACGTCGCTGAACTCAAATAATAGGCGTTAGTGAGGGATCACTACATATATTAGATGTACTTAACATTTAAATATTGCTTCAGTTTAAATACTCACAATTAATTTTCGTCAAATTCGGTAGAGTATTTTTTATAAATAAACATTAAATTTCAAACACACACTTTGTTTCTAATATATAACAACAGCTGTTAGTCAATTATACATTTATATTGAATAGCTTTAATGGTTTGAATGACAAAAGATAATACAATACAGAAAATAATATAAAATTATARTGAGCAATAACTATGACATATTTTATTATCTGTAACAGATAACAATCGCGATACAAAAACAACAACAAAAGAGAAATTGATTTTAGTGAGTCACTCTATAGGGGTCAAAATGAAGCCAAATACCCTACTTGAGTCTCAATGAATCTTTTGATATATTTTATCTTTTCGGTTAAGTCATTCAGAAGTTGAACATTTATTACAAACTCACAAAATTAAATATACTAAGGTATACATAAAATCCTTAATATTTGGCTGTGTCTTCAGGTTTTGATTAAAGTGATTTTTAATGTTAATTGAACAGTTTAAGTACATAGCCTGATAGTAAAAATTCCATTTGGTTTTTTAAAATTATTTWAGCAACAAATGAAAGATCACCCATGTTAAAAATCTATAAAAACCTTTAAATATAAATCTTAAACTATATCTGGGTTTAGGTTCTGCAGGAAAATGAATAAAAATATTTACCACACATTCTACATATGGCCATCCAAAATGTTTCTCAATATAATCAGTTCCTTGTGAGCTTGAATCTTCGTGTATGAAACTGCTTGTGTTAGGAGATGTGTCTCCAGAATCAGCTGACAATTTTGACAAAGGAATCGGTGTCATTTTTACACTAACTAAATTCTAAAAAAAAAACATACCTAAATAATATTCTTAGTTCTCAAATTTTAATTTGATTTATACTATAATTTCCATACCATTTTACTTTGTAGCTTAGAATTCCAGAATGTAATAGGAGTATCAAATAATTTAAACTGAATAGCACATTCTGTAGTTAAAAAACCTTTGCTTATTAGTTTTTTATCATTCATACCATACATATCACTTTGAAAAGCCCTATCACTACTTGATATTTGAGTTTCTAAGATTAATATATTTGTTATTTATTATTATTATATTTTGGTATGATTTTTATTAAAATTAACAAACCATCTTGTACACGTCTAGGTTCCGGTTGAGACTCCCACGAATGAACAAAAATATGTCTTTGTTTCACAAATTCTTCATCAGGTTCTATAATATATGCCATGAAATAACGAAAGAATATTTCTTGATCAGGTGGCAAATGAATAGATCCAGTCCAAACACAGTATTTTCGACTAAAATAAATATATTAAATTGTATTAATTATAATAATACAATTTATTACATAGATTATTTAATAAAAGCAAGAATATATAATTAAATGTAATCAATAATATAATCATACGTGGTTAGGTTACAAATACACATTAATAAAAGTAAAATTACTCAATAAAGTAATTACAGTTTGAGTGATAATTATAAWTTATTCGTTAAAGTACATTTCTTTAGAATTAATAAAAAAATTAATGAAGTTTTGTTAAAATTTAATATTAAATGTAAAACTGCAAACGTACATCATGCTTCATAAAAAAACCTAATATGAATAGTTAATTTTTGGATTATTTGCTGCGATATGATCTCGAGGTTGTAATTTAAAGTTTCTGAATTAAAGTTTTCCATGCAAGACACATAAATAAAGCCAGTGTRCATAAATAGTATTGATATATATTGAGAAATACTATAGCTATTTATTGATTATACAATTTGCAATAAAGATCAAATTTAAAGTTTAAAGTTTATGTAAATATTTTATAGTTATGATATTTGTACCAAATAAACTCAACCATAAAATTGTAGCAGAAAATAAACCCCTGAAAAAAATATTGAAAAATTAAATAAGTACTTACTAAAAAAATCAAAATACTTAAAATTATATTATTACAAATTATGCTCATAAAAAAAAGCAAATGTGTAAAAAAGTCGGAACTTATTGAATAATAAAAACATCTTAATCTTTTCACTGCTACAATATTTATTCTCGCAAACTATATAGTATATATGCTAAATAAAATAAAATATATGTAATTCATTTTTTTTCGATTTTAATTTTGAAATCAATATGTAATCTAATTATTCAAATTTAATATAATATGAGTCAAGGTTTCTTGAAGTTACTAGTTACCAAAAAATTATAATATTACATAATTAATGAATATAATAGTGCACCTGAAACAGTGAAAGGGTTACTAAAAATATATGTTTTGAATATTAATTATATTACATGTTAATAATTGTAATATATCCTTAGTTTTAGGTCTAATAAAATATAAATATTGATTACTATTTTAATAAAGTCAACTTTTAGAATATTTTATGGCATGTTATCTTCATGAAAAAATAATAAAAAGATTAGATTTATGTTTATTAACTTTTCACACAATGGGAAGTCATTCAATTAAAGTTACATACATTTCCCTATATTTTTATACTAATATAATCAAATTAAGTCACCCTAAAAAATTTTAAGTACTAATACTAGTATATTTAGTTATGGTGTGGGATGATTGCAATTTAAGTACATTAAATATTTGAAAATTACCTACAGACCAAAATTTTAATTTATCATGTTTCTATTTGAACCATATTTAGTGATGATAAATAGCCTATATGGTATATATTTAAATATTGATAATAACTTCATTAAATATAGTTGGAAATAGRWTAATTTCGTGTAATTACTAGTATTACATACTTCCAAAGTTAAATTAGATTCTTAAATTATAAATATTCAAGAATATTCAGTTTAAGTTAAAAGCATTAAAGTGAAAATATAACTATTTTATATTTAAATAGCTGATTAAAATATTATATATTTCAATMATTWTTTTTTGATATTAGCATTTTTATGAAATTATAGTCAATTTACTTTTTTCTTATACGTATCACATTTGTGTTATTTAGAACAAATGCCTTGTTCACTTCCCAATTACCGAGAGTTGGGCAGTTACCAGATACACAAATATGTTGTCCAGTTATTGTTTCAGCTTCAACAGTGAATGTTTTAAGTATTAATAACTTGTCCATTTCTTTAGGTGATCTTGATACTGAATGAAACTTTGTATCTGATGATTGTACCTGTTTGATGTTTGTTTGGTCTTGTTCAAACCATTGTTGCATATTCTTTAATAYCTAAAAAATCAACAAAATCAAAAATCAAATAAGTACACTTAATATTGATGATTAATGTTTGTCTTAAGTTATGTACATAATATATTAAAATAATTCTAATATGATTTAAATTATTAGATTCTGAGCGGAGCGATGAAT